CTGGATGAGCCCTTTGTCTTTTGATGCCTTTATGCTGACAGTTGACCATTGACTGGCATCCAAATCAGAGGGAGACAGTCGTATGAATCTTTGCCTGTTTTTGGAACTGCTCCTTTTCAAGCTTACAGGGTGCCGATATGCCACAAATTCCAACGTCATTCACAAGCCCAGGCAGGAGGGAGGAGTCCAGAGTGATCCTCAGAGAAATGGGATAGACATCCACCTATTTGACCATCACATTACGGCATGTTTTTTCTGTGCTCCCTCAGAATTTTGATGGGAACGTTCCAAGACAAGCGAGTGTTAATACCAAAAATCACATTGTTCTATGAAGGTGATGTGGTGGTCGAATTTTTGTTTTTTCATTCTACAGATATCACTTCCTGGTAGCATGGGCATTAGTGATGACGATTAATAACAAATGCCAAGGCTATAAGAGTATGACTTGGGTAGCTTTAATAGTCTTAGAAAATCAGCCATTTGCCCATGCTCAATTACATGTGGGATTGTTGGGGTTTATTAAAGATGTGTGCAATCTTCTGGTTACATGTATTGCAAGTGGGAAACAATCCAACAATGACAAACTTTGCAAACAAACCATTTTTCTCTGGAAACCTGCAAGGACAAAGCAAGGGATTCAGAAGAACGTTTCATGGAAGCATAACAGATTGTATGTTTCTTTTTTTGTAGTACAAATGTATGTTTTTTTTTTTTCTTTCTAGAAATTGTTTCATCCAATACTTAGTTTCAGAACAGCCATCAAGACGTATTGTATGTAACTCAACAGACGGCAAAGCCACCACTAGACCTTAGTATAAGGTGTGTTACTTTAAAAGAGACAAATCCTTAACTTTGTGATCTGCACTTTTGAGCTTGGATAAGTGAGCAAATATACATTGAATATTGATGTTTTTTTTTTGGTTGGTTTGAGAGGATCAATGCATCATAGAGTTTTCTTTGTATGTATTTCTCACCTCTGCCCTCCCTAATAGACAAGAAAAAAAAAGAGGAAGAACTGTTTTTTTTTGACAATGGCCATCTTCTTCAGTTTAATGCAAATATAAATTACTGGTTGTTATAAGTTGTTTAATGTTTGTTGTTGGAGTTGAATAATATAGACAATCAACTGTTTATAGTTATTCAGGCCTCCTCCTCCTCCTCCTCCTCCTCTGATGAGGACATTATAGCAGCTAAATGAATTTCGAATGATTCTGTCACTGATTTCAGATTGGCCTGGATATTCGATCGGTTTGATGATTGTGATTTTCAGTGGGTCGACTAAACATTACATTAGTCAAGATGCTAAGCTATGATGTTGTTTTACCGAGTATTCTTCCACTGTCGATGATTGCTGGTGATGTTTGATGGGAGTGTTTTGATTGATTACATAAGCTGTCAACACAGTGTAGTAGTCTGGGATCCACCATCACAGCAATATTGACAAATATTTGACCAGCCAACCCACCAACGGGGGGACGACCGGAGATATAAAAGCAAGCCAACTACTACCACTACTACTACTACCACTGCTCGGTCAACAGGGAAACCAACAAACAACAACAACAACAACAACCTCAGGACTCAGCAGTCAGGACAAAAAAAAGCAAAGGCAAGCAAACTACTACTACTAAAGACTACTCCTTACCATCATCAGAACAAAACAAACTAACCAAAATGACCAACCCATCTGAAACCCATGAACTACCAACAACACCAACAACACCATCAACACCAACAACACCAATCGACGATGAACTCGATCGAACTTATCATGCCATCACCCAACTCATCCAAACCACACTCAACTCACCACCACCCACCACTCCACGACTATCGATCGAATTCCAACCGGACCACCTCCAACTATGTCTAACACCAAACCACGAACAACAACATCACTCAATCATCATCTCAATCGATCATACAACCACATCATCATCACCATCATCACCATCACCATCACCATCATCATCACCATCATCATCATCACCTTCAACCCAACAACATCATCAACATCAACAAAATCAACAACAACAACAACTATGTCTCACTCCTACCTCTCACACCTCATTCGACTTCAAAACAATCCGACCAAACCGAACCATGTCACTCTCATCTCACTATACAACTCAATCCAATCTCACTCATTTCTCATCTACGTCATCGATCCAATCGACCACCACTACTCACCATCCCAACCCAATCTACACACTCTCACCAACAACACCAACACCATCTCATCCGCACCCGGCAAACTCATCCATCATCATCAACCCAAACAACAACAAATCACGGAAACTAATATATCATTCAAAACTCAATCCTCATCAACTTC